AGTGGGTGTTTTTGGCTTTGAGAGGACCGGGGAAGCTAAGGCAGGCCCTACAAAGGCTGTTGTGGCAAGTTTGATGGTTAGAGATAGCTACGGATGGTAGGAGGGGGCAGAATAGAAGGGGGCTGTGGGCTACCTTGCATATTGCAGGGTTGGCCATAGGCAATTATACATAGCTGCTTGAGCAGGGCTATGCATGGCCGGCCTTGCCATATGTAGGGCAGCCCCCAGCCCCCCTATTTCACCCCCTTCTGCGACATCCAACCTTCCAACCTCCCACAAACAACCTCTTTATGACATCTCTTGCCTTCTCCCGTCCTCTAGAGCCCAAAAACAACCACTCCCGTCCAATTGCTTGACAAAATGCCACAACCACCTTAACAATGTAATAGCCGCTTTCTACTCAAATATTCATAAAACATGTACATAATAAAATACATATAAAATAGCATAAAAAGGTTGGGCCCAAATTTTTTTTTCTTTTATTAAACATATACATTCTTTTACAAAAAGTTGTATCATGTACAAAGGATCAAAACAAGGTGGATAGTGTAGCCATTTCCCTTTGCTTGCCGACGCCTATCTGACTGTGTCCTCACCTAGATCCTGCAAAAACATGGAAAACAACGGGGTGAGCACAACTAATGCTTAGTAAGCAAATCCTCTACTCATCTATCCCCGTAACTCTCTCTCTCTAATTCTTTCCTTATAATTCTCGTTTACTCTCTCTCTTTCTCTCTTATACTTCTCTCTATTTTCTCTTTCTCATAACTTTTTTCTACTAACTCTTTTTAGTAAGTCACGGCCTCATCTTACCGGAGGCACGGCCGGGACTCGCTCCCGCTCTACATGACTTCTCCTCCTTGTAGCCGATCGGACTCGGTTATGCATGGATTTGGAACCCTTGGCCATGTGAGTGTATAAACTCTCTCTCTCAGGTACTCTCGGGTATAGCCCTCATCCACATGCACTCTCACGGGCTACAACACTTCTCTCTCTTATACTCATGCCGCTCTCTCAATGCGGCGTACATGCGGGAATACTCTACCCATTACTCACGGGTTCCCCATCGCACAACCTACTTTATTCTCTTTTCTCTCTTTTATTCTCTAGTGCTCAGTCTCTCTTTCTATTTACTATTAGAGCTGCTTATTCTCAACATTCTCTACTCTTTCTCCAATTAGTATTCAAATGTAACTTATACTCAAAAGTCTCTACTCTCTCTTAAGCTATTACCCAAAACACAAGTAAATGCACATGGGTAGTCTATGCTCATTAATGCAATTAGGAGATGCCAAGATGCCATGTTGCAAGAATTAAGGTTGACTAATCATACTCATATTTCTCTTAGACATTTCATCAAACAACTCATGTGCATATAAAAAACTCTACTCTAATTACTACTTTACTTCATTCTCTAGCCATCCAAAATGGGAGAAAACTCCCTCATATAACCATAATCCCTGTCAAAGAAAATACTTCCAAATAGGTTTACACAACATCTCCCAAAACTTCATCTAAATCTCCACTTCTCCATACACACTAAAACACTTCTCATACATGAAGTGTATCCAACAACCACAAAATAGCTATTTATCTCAACTAAATTTCTCATCAAGCATACTACATACTTATACATGCATACATCTCTACTCAATCTCTACTCAAAAGCTTATTCAAATCTCAACTTGGTTGGATTTACTTACTTTGTGAAAAAGTGACTTCTCTACCACTTTTCCTTCCCCTTGTTGTCTTGTCTTCTCTCTTCAACTTAAAACAACAACAACAACAACAATAATAACAATATAAGACTTCAATATAACCATAAGCAAAACTCACATCTAAAGCAAGAATCCTTACCTTAGGATGCTTGAGATGAAATTTCTACTAACATTACCCAAAAGCTCTCTTAAACTCCTTAGAAATCTTGGGAAAATTGAAGGAAAATTGAGAAAATTTAGAGAATGGGTATGGCGGTGGAATTGAATGAAAATGAAGGGTTTATGTCACTTAACCCTTTTTAGCTCATATTATAACCTTCCTTTCCCATTTTGCCCTTGTTCTTTCTTGGAAATTCCATCTATATCCTTTGATTCATTACATTCACACCCCTACACTAACCTATTCTCCATGAAATTTCCTTACATTTTACTCCCTATTTTTCCTGCTAATTAGGGGTAGAATGGTCATTTTGCCCCTATGAAGAATTCTCTAGAAACCTCCAGAAAACTTTTCTGCTGTCCCGTTGCCGCAGCGAAGAAATTCTGTCGCCCTGGTGAAAACTGACAAAACTGACACTGGAATTACAAAGTCAACGTCACCGCGGCGAAGACTGTATTTCCAAGATCCCTTAAGTCTCAATCAATTTCAAGGCAAACACTCAACCAACTCAACATACAACTCAATTGAAGCTGACTCAATGAACATTTAAGCAATACAGCAAATCTTAAAACGTACCTCAAGTGGGGCGTTACAAATAACCAACAGCAACCAAATATCTCCAAATTGGCACCAACAAACAATTTTTTCATAAAATAGTAAGGAATATACCTAATCTTCCTCTTCTTCTTCCTCCTCGCTAGAATTTGGGTCGACGTCCTCGTCTTCAGACCCATTTTTAGAGCTTGCTACTTGTTCTTCTGCCCATGTGGTCTCTTCTACCGCTAACATGTCCTCTACTAGTGGAGCAACTTCAGTCACCGCAACCTCTTCTTCTCCAATCTTTGAACAACTGTCGGACTCTAGAATTTGGAATGGGGCTGGGTTTTTCTCAGATTCTTTGCTAATGTCATTCATTGTTTGTTTGTGTAACTAATAGGGAAACAAAAACCCAAAGGGCAAAGATTTGCCGAAAACGGGAATGAAAATCACCTAAAATCGAAAGAGAAATGGTGATCTTTTGTTGGGTCGCTTAAGCAATTTTGAATGGATTTTTTTTTATTTTCAAAATATAAACAAATTTCACTTTATTACACAATTACCCATATATGTTTAAATCCTTGCACTTTAACCCTTTTTGAATCTTCAATAATTCTTAAATGTGCCACGCCACTTTTTCATGCTTAAAAAAAATTCAAAACAATTTCAAGGTTACAATTAAATTGCCTCTATTTCAGGGCATATGTCTATTATTTATGTCTTTTTTCCAAATCATATGAGATACCTATGCAAAGATTGTTTCATTTAGGGCTTGTTGAGTGATTGGTAACACCAAGTGGAGAGGAAGAACTTGAAGAGCTGCTAAATAATGATATTAAAAATCTGGAGAATATGATCAAAATTGTTCAAGTGGTAAGGCAAAGATTAGACAGAAAGCCTAAAACTTGCAATGTGACTAGTAGTCTGTATGGTACCTTCTGTCAGAACTCTCACAAAATGGGATCCTTTCATGTAAATTGCAAGCAATCAAATTCTACATCCAAGTCATAGAAGGTATGCATCCGCAGGTTTGCAGAACATGAAGACATTCAAAACAACCCCTACTCATATGAAGTCGTTAAACATCTACACTCCTTCATATCTTTCAACACCTGGAAGGGTGATAAACCTTTAGAGGAATAGGTAAGTTTCTGAACAAGACAATCACTAAAGAAGGCATTGGATTACTCAGAGTGCTTGATCTAGAAGAGGTATACAAATTCGTACTGCTTGAAACACTAGGAAAACATAAGCTTTTAAGATATGTAGGTGAGATAGAGTTTTCCAGACTCAATTCCGAAGTCAATAGGTAATCTTCCTTGCCTAGAGACTTTAGATTTGAAGCACACTAATATAACCAAATTGCCACTGTCCATTTGGAGGCCAAAGACAATTATGCATCTGTACTTGAACTGCCTTCATTTTAAGATGTCCACAACAATGCTAGTTTCTTTAACCAATCTTCAAACTTTGCAGGGTCTATTTATCTGCAATATTAATTGTTGTAAAAATGATTGGTTGAAGAACTTGAGTTGTATTAGGAATCTGAGACTGACATGCCATACAACATCATTTCAGGAGATAACCCAATAGATCTGTATGCATACTAGTCTTCAATCTTTGAAGCTGTGACTCATAAATAATTTTGGTGAACCTTCAGGCTTTAATTTGGTTTCCATTGATGAGTTCAAGAGCCTAACAAAGTTGTATTTGCTCAAAATGTTACCAAGAGGATTTGACATAAGGCTATTCCCCCCCAAAGTTCCAGACTTTGTCAATGTCTCAACTATCGAATGATCTTGTTAAAGCAAGTGATATCTTTTTGTAAATATGAGGAAAGTGATTTGAAGGCTCTGCGATTTGAAACTTGCAACTAGATGTGCGAAATAAGAAGGATGCGAGCTGAAGTAGATGAGTTCAAGAGCATGTTTTGCAATGAGAATGTGATCTAGAATATGTGACCAGAAGGTAATACGATCTAGAAGCGATTCAGGAAAGTGTCCAAGTGACCAAATGAGCTTGCGACCTGCCTGAAAGAGGTCATTTATTCAGAGCCGATCTAGATGATGTCAGAGTTGGTCAACTACCCAAAGTGGTTTAGCTAATTTTTAGGAATGATAAGACAGACAAATGTCAAAATGGTTAGGAATGTATGACTCTGTTATGATAGCTTTTATATATATCCCTGCAATTTAGATTAGCATTTAATGCTCTGTAGAGGTGGCATGTCCATAATGTAATAAATGATGTAATTAGCTTGTATATAAATGTTGTTTATGTTAATGAAAGAGAGATAATTAAGTTATCATAAGAAAAAGTGAGTCAAATTTAGACAAAACAAGAAAACTTATCTTCCACAACATTCTTGCGTTCTTTCCTTTGCATTTCTAGCTTGTAAACCCAACAATTGGTATGAAAGCTTGACCCTCTTCATCGAGATTCCTCCTTCATTCATACCAGTCAACTTCTTTCCACATAATACCTCCCTAATTTAAAACACAAAACCTGTCTTCATGGCATCAAGCACAGCTTCCCTCTTACCACTAGTCTTCAATGGAGAGTAGTACCATTTATGGGCTGTTAAAATGAAGATGTATTTGCAGGGCCAAGGTCTCTGGCAATATGTGGTGGAAGAAAAGCAACCAACTCAATTGGAACAAAATCCTAAGTTAAATCAGATTCGTTTGTGTGAAGAAAAAGCCACGAAAGCTCCAAGAGCTTTGTTGCACATATACTTGGCTGTCTCAGAACTCATGTTCATAAGGATAATGGCTTGTGAAGCAACAGAAGAAGTGTGGGATAAGCTTAAGGAGGAGTATGGTAGAAGTGATAAAACCAAGGACATGCATATCCTGAATCTGAGAAGGAAACTTGAGATGTTGAAGATGCAAGAGTCTAAAAATGTTAAAGAATATGTTGATCGATTGATGAATGAGATCAACAAAATCAGACTTCTTGACGAAGAATTGACGGATAAGTGGATAGTAGAAAATGTGTTGGTGAGTCTACCAGAGAGGTTTGAGGCCAAGACCTCATCCCCGGAAAACTCAAAAGATTTTTCCCAAATTACCCTTACTGAGTTTGTTCATGCCCTACAAGCTCAACAACAAAGAAGGCTTCTAAGACAAGAAAATAACAATGAAGGAGCCATAATGGCTTCATATAAAGGAAAATCAATTCAAAGAGGATACAAAAACTTGTTGGAGAGAGAAATGGGAAAGAAAAGGTGAACAACTAATGAGGCAAGAATGGTGGGATGAAGGGATATCCACCATGTCCTCATTGCAAGAAAAAAAACCATGCTGAGAATAAATGTTGTTTCAGGCCTAACATCCAGTGTAGGCCGTGTAAGCAATTCAGCCATATTGAAAAGGTTTGCAAAAATAAAGCAAACTAGTCACAACAACAAGCTCAAGTGTTTGAAAACAAGCAGCAGAATCAAGAGGGAGAATAGTTGTTCATGACCTCTTATCATGCAACTCACACCGGAAGAGAAATACGGTTGATAGATAGTGGTTGTATTAACCACGAGACACCATATGTCACCAACTTCATGGATCTAGATCATTTGTTCCAGTCCAAGGTGAAGATTTGAAATGAAGAGTACATGGAGGTTAAAGGAAGGGGCAAAATTGTTGTCCAGACTCCAATGGGCACAAAGCACATCGCAAATGTGTTGTATGTGCCTGAAATCAACCAAAGTCTACTAAGTGTTGGAAAAATGTTAGAGAAAAATTATTCTACACATTCTCAAGACAAATCATGTATTGTAGTAGACAGTGAAGGGAGTAAGTTGATGAAAGTGAAGATGATGGGAAAAAGCTTTCCCATAGAATGAAGAAAACCAAAAGTCCAAGCTCATTCTGCTAGAATAGTTGAGTTCGAACTGTGGCATAAGAGATTTGAACATTTTTACTATAATGACATGAAAGAAATGAAGCACAAAAATCTTGTGCAAAATTTACCAGAGATCGAAGAAAAGAGGAGTCTATGTCAAACCTGTTAACTTGGTAAATCGAGCAAACAACCATTTCTTAGAAATACAACTTGGAGAGCTACAGAGAAGCTCTAGTTGATACACACCAATGTGTGTGGACCTATGCAAACTTATTCCTTGAGTGGAAGTAAATATTTTGTGTTGTTTATTGACAATTTCTCCAGAATGACATGGGCAGCCTTCCTAAAGTAGAAAAGTGAAATGAACGATGTATTTAAGAAGTTCAAGCATTTGGTAAAAAACCAAACTAGTTTGACCATCAAATATGTCCGCAGCGATAATGGGACAAAATACACTTCTATGGAATTCGAAGAGATATGCAGAAGAGCTGGAATCAAGCACCAGTTTAGTAGGCCATACACTCCACAGCAAAATAGAGTGAGTGAGAGGAAAAATAGTATGGTCATAGATATGGCCAGATGCATGATCATTGAGAAAAAGCTGCCAAAGTCATTTTGGGTAGAAGTGGTCAACATAGAAGTCCATTTGTTGAATGGACTGCCAACAAGGCTCTTAATGAACTGACTCCATTTGAAGCTTGGTACGGAGTTAAGCCAAGTGTGGAGGACCTCAAAGTCTTTGGAAGCATCTGTTATGCTCATGTTCCAACGAGCAAGAAAAGCCAACTTGATGAAAAGCCTGAAGTTGGAATTTTTATTGGCTATAGCAATCAATCAAAAGCCTACAGAGTTCTCAATCTAATCACAAACAAGACTCTAATCACAAGAGATGTCAAAATCGATAAGATGTCAGTTTGGAATTAGGAAGAGAAGAGGATTGGAGAAGAAGAAAGGGCTCAGTAGAAAGAGGTTGCTAATGACTAGGATGAAGCTAGGGAAAATTTAGATGCTGACAAAGAGCTATCAGTTAAAAGGACCAGGTCTCTAGTTGAAGTATATTAGAGGTGCAATATTGTCATATTGGAGCCTATGAATTATGTTGAAGCTGTGAAGTCAAAAGAATGGAGAATGACAATGAAGGAGGAGCCAAATATGATAGAAAAGAATGAAACCTGGAGGTTGGTTGAGCGACCATCAGATTGGAAGATCATCCAAGTCAAATGGATTTTCAAGATAAAGTTGAATTCTGATGGATCAATTAACAAATATAAAGCAAGACTGGTAGCCAAAGGTTACGCTTAGCAATATGGAGTAGATTTTTCAGATACTTTTGCTCTAGTTGTGAGGCATGAGACGGCTAGACTTCTCATCACACTTGCAACTCATTTTAAATGGAAAATATATCAATTGGATGTCAAGTTAGCCTTCTTGAATGGCTACTTGGACAAAGAAATATATGTGGAGCAACCAGAGGGCTCTACAAATGAAAGGGGCGAAGACAAAGTCTATTTATTGAAGAAGGCTTTATATGGGTTTAAATAGGCTCCTAGAGCCTGGTATAGCCGAATCAATGAGTACTTGAGCAAGCTAGGTTATACAAGAAGCCCTAATGAACTTATACAAGAAGCCCTAATGAACATACTTTCTATGTGAAGAGGCTAGATAGTGATCTCATCATAGTCTCCTTATATGTTGATGATTTGCTAGTGACTGCAAATAATCCTGATCGAGTGGACTAATTCAAGTAAGCAATGCATAAGGAGTTCGAGATGACATATTTGGGAGAAATGACCTTCTTCCTTAGGATAGAGATACGTCAATCTCCAAATGGCATATTTGTCAGTCAAAGAAAATATGCAAATGAGATCTTAAAGAAGTTCAGCATGGAGAGTTGCAATCTAGTGAGTACTCCGCTAGTTCAAAATCAAAAACTATGCAAAGATGATGGAGGTCGCAAGACTGATGAAAGTAGATACAAAAGCCTGATCGAGTGCTTGCTATATTTGACAGCGACTAGACCAGATCTCATGTATTCTTCTAGCCTCTAGGTGAGGTTTATGAATGAGCTAAGCAAAGTCCACATGAGAGCAGTCAAAAGGATGCTACGATATGTTAAAGGAAGTGCAGATCTTGGGATATGGTATAGAAGGTCTAAAGACTTCGACTTGGCAGGATATACATATAATGATTGGGCAGAATCAGTCGAAGACATGAAAAGCACATTGGGGTATGTGTTTTTCTTAAATTCAGGAGCGATCAACTGGTTGTCCAAGAAGCAAGAGTGTTAGAGTAGGTGCCCTAGAGCCAATCAAATATTGTAGAGTTGACTCTTTGTAATAATATTCATTAATCAATAAAAGGCATTTTGTACTATATCGTGTAAATCATAATGGTATGTATTGATATATGTCCTTAGAATGGTGAAACTGTGACGAGTGTATTAAGTGTTTCAAATCTTGATAGTGAGAACCCTATGATCACATATGGTGGAGATTCTAGAAATGACCATAGCCCTAGTATTATTTTGACCAAGGACACAGATAATACGGTAAGGCTATCATAGTGTTGAAAAACCTTGTTGAAAGGTAGTGACTGATCTCACTTGTCAAGGTTGTTTGCCACAACCTAGGGTAGCACATGGGTGCTTGCTATAGGCAAGTTCACTGGATTGACCCACCAAAGGATTCCATATAGATGGTAACCCCAGTGTCTATGGAAGAAATCCTTTAACGAATAGTGGTGTATGTGATCCTTAGACTTGAGATCATCGGAGTGCCTTGTGCACTCGTTGGTGTAGTTTGACACTAGCCCAACGTAGTTCTATTTAGAGCTATCAATACGGTAGTGATTGACTACATTGAGGAGTGTACCAAGACTATGGTAGATCGACAGAGGATTAATTACTCCCAGGTACAAGAGAAGTTATCTCATGGTGCAATTCAGCGAATGGCAATAACACTAAAGTTGTGGCCACAGTGGCATTGAGTTGTTGCTCAATCTAATTTATTATTCTGGTCATTGGTCCAGTAACTTAATACAAAGAAATTGAGAATAATAGAGGTTGACACTATTTCTGTACCTCAGTCTCAATGAGATAACAGATGATGAAAGGATTTGATTGCACCGTAACCATATCATTGATAGGTAGTTGTTTCGCTGAATCCAAAACTATTGGGTGGTTATGATGCCTTGCTAGGAGCCAATCTTGGTCTGTGTGTAGTGAAATGATTGACTGGTGTCAATTGTGGTATTGCTCACTGCTAATATGATAAGGAGCCTGCGGGTCATACACTTAGAAGACAGTTTAAGGATGGTAAATTTTGGAAGGGTATATTCATCTTTTAGATGAATGGGCATATTGGTAATTTTACTGTGTAATTAAATTTACTGAGGTTGTAGCCTATATCAAATTTTTTATTGGAGTAATTTAGCAAAATTATAAATTTAATTATTAAAGTTAATATTAATATTTAACTAAATAATTAAATTAGGGTTAATATGCAATTATACCTAAAGCTTGGGTTGTAGCTAAACTTGAGGGGTGGAAGAGATATTTGCTTCATTATTTAAAGAAAGCAAAAATAAGTTTTTGCATACAATTTCATTCCAGCCATGGGAGATAAATTTTTCTGAGATAAATTTTGAAGAGAAAAATTTCTCTCTTCTTCTCTACACTCAGTCTTCCAAAACACAATCCTTAAAGCCAAGAATTAATTCTAGCAAAATTAATTCTTGGTCATTGATGTACTATCTTTGTGTAGATGATGTGAGTTCGTTTACATTCTCAAATTAGTAGCGAATCACATTCAGAGACACTGATGGAGCCTTCAATCGCAGGTATAATCTAATCCTTGTATGGATTTGTGTTATTTTAGTTTAAGCATGTAAAATATATATATATCAGACCCTAATCTTGGCCAAATCAAAGTAATCAATGAGCAAAATTTTTGTTTTTCCATTGCCTCTGTTCATTGATTTACTAACAAAGAGAAAGTGGCTCAATCAATTGCGGAAGTAGAATACATCGTTGTAGCTACTGCAGTGAATCAAATGATCTGACTAAGGAAGATCCTGAAGGATATGAAGCTAGAACGAAGTGAGCCAACAATGATCTTCTATGACAATCAATCTACTATTTCTATGGCCGAAAATCTTGTGTTTCATGGCTGATCAAAACATATAAAGATCAAGTATCATGATGTTCGAGAAGCCAAGTAGAACAAGGAAGTGAAGATAGTTCATTGTCGATCTGAAGAACAAGAAGCAAATATTTTGACCAAGGTGATAAGCAAATCCAAGTTTGAAGGACTACGGTTCAGACTCGGTGTTTCCAATAAAGATATCAAGGAGGAGTCTTAAAGCAAGTGATATCTTTCTATAAACATAAGGAAAG